CCTCATCAAGGGAAGAAACCAGGTCCCCCAGGTGAGGGAGCAGAGGGCCCAAGGGGTGAAGACATCCTCCAAGTGGCCACCCACATTTATATCTCAGCTCATGTAGGACTGGGAGGGGGTATGGGTGTCCTAGTCTATCCCTGGCATCTGGCTATCTTGAAGGTAGGCTCATGGGGCACTGCCTCGTTGCCTTCTCTGGACATGGTGCCCTGAGAAGAGGCTGGATAGAACTTTCCCAAAATCATGGATGGGAAGGTTCCAAGAAAGCCTTGAGTGTTAGTTTGGAAATATGTCCATCACGTAGTCACCGGCCCGGGCTTCCAGAGAGTTTTGCTGGTTCCCAGGACTTAAGAGATGAAATAAACGCTGTCACTTGGATAGATCTCAAAGGTCCCCAACTTGAGTCTACATACAGCTGTCTCTACCCCAGACCCCACCCTGAACAACTCTCCTCACCCCTGTACACTGAGGGAGGGAGTGGTGGTCATTTCTCATTTATTCATCTTTCTCTAAGGAGCCAGCGTGGTTACTCAGTAAAACATTTACTGAGCAGACCTTTTGCTGGACCTGGGATGGGCACTAGGGAGCATGGATGAACTCACAGATTTTATCCCATCCCTGGAGTAGCTGATCATCTGGGGCCCAGAATGATCCAAGAAGATACATCATGAGGGTCTTGGGAAGTTATAGAACAGCTGAGGCCTATTCTGCACCCCCCACACACACCTGGTGGCTGTCTGAGGGCTCCAAGCTTCTCCTAGATAACTTTATTAACTTCATAGTGAATGTTTTATTTGCAAACAGGAGACCTGAAATGTTACTCATTGCAGAGTAAGGATGCTGAGTTCCAGTCGGTCTGGGTAAATGCATTCTCAGTTACTGATTGACAGGACTTTCTAGGGGGACAAACACAGAGAAAATTCCCCATGTTCCTTTCTAGTTCCTTCCTCTGCTTCTCCAGGTGTCTTTGTGCCTGCATTCTTCACTTACCAAGCCTGTACGTACACGCACCATTAAAAACAGCTAACTACCCTGGGTTCGGAAGAGAATTTGCTTCAACTCCAGCTTCCCCTTCAAAGTTACCACCCCTTGACTTTTAGACTGAAACTTGGAATTTTTGTCTCCTGTTTTGCTTTGACAGACAGGGACCTTTCCGAGGTCACACAGTAGGCTCAGGCTACTAGGAAAGCCAGTTTCAGTTTCCAGAGTGTGGTCTGCAGCCTGCAAGGCTCAACAGTCCTGAGCCACCAGCTGATACCTTGCCTGGGAACTCCCCACCCTCCTCCATCACCCTCCCACCTGGCTCAGGCAGGCATTCCTCCCACAAAAGACTCTCCCAGGAAGCAGCAGCAAGACGTTCTCAAAACAGGGAACCAAGTTTAGAGATGTAAAGATGGCAACAGCACTCTGGAATTATAGGAGGGTCACACTGGTCAGCCCAACACGCTTGGAGAAACATACTTGCCAAAGGGGGCTTGAAGAGTGGCTCTGGTCCCTGGGCCTCCCAGATGCGAGGCCCATGACAACTGGGGATCCCGCACCATAACTTGGGTTCTACCATCATCTCATTTGTCCCGTCAGTGTCTGGCTGAAACCCTGGGCACTAAGGTTCCAACTTCTAAGTAGGATTTCCAACCCCCCCAGTCCGTTGGTTATTCAATTGTGATAACACAAAGCGTTCCCAGTCCAGGATTCCTTGTGTATCCTGAGACTGGGGTTGAGGGGGACCTGAGTCCCCAGTATCTAAGGCTAAGACAGCTTTCACTTGCAGCCCATGTCTCAGTGTGCTCTCCTAACCACTCCTGACTGGCTGCTGTGTCTCCGACTCTGAGGCCTAAGCTAGTCCAACTCTCATACTGGAACAGCAGAACTGAGCCACTATGGCATTCACCAAGGGGGGCATCTGTCAAGCCAATGATGGTGGTAAGGGTTGGGTGATCATCATGCAACTGCAGTTCAGAGCTTGACCACCAGGGCTGCATCTCTGCAGGGAGGTGATTTACTGTCCCAGCAGTGGCTCTGAGCAAGGTATTGGGAGAGAGGGGACTCAGTCCTCCCTTTGCTCTAGGACCCCTTTGTCTACAGAGCGCCTCGTTTTTCTGTGGGTAGAGTCAGCAGAGCTACTCAAAGCTCTGAATCCAAAGAACCCAGAACTGCTGGGGTGAGGTGGGGGTAATCCCCCAATCTGCCAAACTTTTAGAAAAACTGGAGGCCTGTACAAGGAGTCCTCACACTCCAAATGAACCAGCCTCAGTCCCAGCTTCTGACGGGGAAGCCAAATCTAGACAGAACCGGAGAACAGGGCCCCACCCAAACCGCCCTTCCCAAGATGGTCTCATTGCCTTATCCTGGGTGTCCCATACTTGGGTGTCAGTGAGTTTGGAAGGGGGCATCTGGAGATGGGGACAGGATCATGATGACAACTCAAGCTGTGTGGTCTGAGGCCTCGTTGTAAGGAGTCTGGAGCTTTCCCGGGAAATCAGGAGCAGGACAGAGATTCAGGAATTGCAATTTTAGGTGACTCTGAGTATGTTGTGTGCTCTCTCTGGTGGTAGGAGGAGGAATTGCAACTGGGTCTCCAAGCTATGTACTGGTGAGTCAAGGGTCACTTTGAAGACTTGGTTTGTATTCTGTAGTTTGGCACAGCTCTGCTGTGTGGAAAATCTCAGAGTGAAGGGCAAGTTCAGTAACTCTCAGTGTGTGACCTTCCCGGAGAGTGAAGGGTGGTGTCCTGGCCCAGGGGCAGGTCACAGAATCAGAACGTCCCTGGAGCAGTGGTCCTCAGCCCTGGGCTGGCTCACTGAGCTTCAGCCTGGGTGAGGGTAGCAGAGGGCATGGGGACAGGAGGACAGGCTCAACAGCTAATCGCATGCTTGTGCCCATCTGTCCCAACTCAAGGATGACATATGGTTAGGCCCAGGTTGGACAAAGTCCCCAAGGTTCACCTCCAGTCTGGCTCCTTAGAGAACAGAGCAGGAGACATGGTGCAGGCCGAGGGAGGAGAAGTGACTCATCCAAGACCATTTAAGTCATGGGCCGATGAATAGAACATTCTAGAAACCTTATTCCTTTCCAGGCTTCCCAATTTTCTCTAGTGAACCACAGACCTTGAATGCCTCTTCCCATATGCCTTGACCCTGTATCCAGAAACCTTGAAGAGTTTGGCTCCTCCCCCCATCCTTACCCTGGCCAGTTCTAGCTTATTCCTCCCACCCTCTAGAGGGAGCTCAAGCATAACAGAACCCAGTTCTACTTAAAGGTGTGAGGTCACATTTTGTCAGTGGTGTGATACTTTACCTAGTAAACTACTGACCTCAGCTGACACCCACCCTCCACCCCAGGTTTCCCTATCTCTTAGCTTTCACATTAAAAGGCAAGAGGGTGTTACCCTGTCTAGACAAGTGACTGCCTTTCTTGGGGGGAGGGGGTGCTCAGCATCCCCTTCCATACAATGGAATGGTCTCAAAGGACTGTCTGTAGTTACAGGTGGGTGGGTGGACTTCAGAGCCCAAGGGCAGTGGGTTAGGACAGAGGCTTAAGTACCAAATGTGATGGCCAGTCCACCCTGACTGTACAGCCCACCCAAACACAGTCTGTGCCTTTCAAACCATCACCCAGGGTTCTGCTCAGATACTCTGAGATGCAGATACCGAAGCCAGATGGTGCCCACATACTGCCAGCCCTCCAGGCTCCTTGGAGATCTCATGGGAAAGGTGGGAGAGGGAGTTGGACCCCTTTGTAGGTCTCTGCCCACATGGACAGGGCTGGAGGAAGCAAGTGACAGTGAATTCACTCTTACTGCTCACTCCTGGCCCAGGGATGAAGCAAGCCAACACCCAATTATCTGGGTAGGAGTGGGTCCAGCTGGAGTTCCTTGGGCCCCACCCACCCAAGCAGAGTGATTGATGGATTGCTGGGAGCATGAACTGAAGCTCAGCACTGGACCTTTCGGATTCACCCACCTTGGATAGCAGTGCACCTTGGGAAAACTCACGAATGTGGCCACAGACAGCTACCTCTTGGGTGGCCAAGAGCACCTGAGAAGCAAGTTCCCTATGGGAGAACTCAGGCTTCAACAGCATCCAACAGGATCCAATAGACCCAGTCACCTTCAGCCTGACACCTTCAGACTTCTGCAGGGCACTTAGAGTCAGGCAGAGGTCTCTGTCCCCAACTGTTCAGGGGTCAGTGATGAAGGGCCCATAGATGACTACACCAAGCCTGTTTTCATTAGCATGTATTTGCTAGAATGATTCATTGAAAACCAGTTAAATGAGACTGCACACGTACCCCAACTTGGAGCAGGAAGTGGGATGTTGAAAGAGTTGGGAAGAGGAGGGAGGAAGTTGATCAAAAGGCATGAGCAAATGACCATGAAGGGGTGGTAGGGAGCCTGGCACGTCCTTCATCCTGAGTGCAGGCTGTGATAGGACAGTGGAGCACAGCTGGGGAAGATGGGCATCCTTGGTGCACAGCTGGGGGAGATGGGCATCCTTGGTGCACAGCTGGGGAAGATGGGCATCCTTGGTGCACAGCTGGGGGAGATGGGCATCCTTGGTGCACAGCTGGGGAAGATGGGCATCCTTGGTGCACAGCTGGGGGAGATGGGCATCCTTGGTGCACAGATGGGGAAGATGGGCATCCTTGGTGCACAGCTGGGGGAGATGGGCATCCTTGGTGCACAGATGGGGGAGATGGGCATCCTTGGTGCACAGCTGGCGAAGATGGTCATCCTTGGTGCCTTGCACTAGTGGGCACTGGCAGTCTGGAAAGAGGAAGGCATGGTTTGAACTGGGAGAGAGGCCTCTGGGGCTGGTAATTTTGTCCCTGTCCCTCTTATTATTCCAGGGATCCCTCTGCAGTGTCCCTACTCTGCACATCCCACTTCCAATACTCAGTCCTCTGTTTAAAACATTAATGGGGACAGTCCCCCAGCCCCCCCCACATTCCTCTCTGCTTGTTGTCTCTTGTTCTTATGTGTTCTCTACCCAAACCCTCATGTGCCTTGAAGGAAACATACCTATTGTCACAGCTCATCTTCATTGACCTGCCTGGGATGGGGAAGAATGAAGATAGGATGAAGGCAGAGAAGGGGAGGCCTGGAGTCTCCTGATTGTGGATCCCCTCCTCCTCATTAGGGAAAACTTCCTGCCCTCCCCTTGCCCCTCCCACCCTGTCAGTTCCCTGACAGCACTCACCTGTGCCTCTTACTGCCCCCACAGCGGAATCTTTTGCCTTAAAAAGAGATAGTAAAGTATGTTGCCATTTTCCAAGGAAGACCTGGAAGTTCTTCCAGGCTTGCTCCCGACTCCCCCAGCATCATCACAGTGTGGGGCTTGGAGTTTGTGTTTAACTGTTTCTCTGTTTATATGGGGCTGGACCACCAAGCAATAAGTCAATCAGCAACTATTCATGTCACTAGATCTGTGATGGACTATGAATGTGTTGGAAGTGGCAGCTGGTGTTCATGATGCCACCAGCACAGTGTTGGGGACAACAGGGTAGCTGCTCTGTGCACTCTTGGAGGAGGACAGGCCAAATTCAAAGTTCAAATCCCTGCCTTGGCTTATAGCTTCCAACCACCGCCCCCCCAGACGGATCCAGGAGCCAGCTTTCTGGTGGAGTGGCAGGAGCCAGCATGTTGGGAATTCCAGAACACAGAAGCCTATTTGCTTCCCCAAGGGTCTCCCTGATTGTGATTCTATTTTTCTTTTGGTGGCAACAAACATTGATTAAGCACTTGCTGTTGTACCTGCCAAGGATGGAAGGTATATAAGGACATTTTCTCCTCCTAAACCCCTCCATGGTTACCCCAAACCCTTCCTAACGTACCCCGCTTTACTCCTACAGCTGTCTTAGGATACTAGCTCAAATCTTATAAGACTAATGGGTTTGTCCCCATTTAACAGAGAGAAAAACGGAGTCTCTCCCATCCCCAAGGTTAGGATCAGTCAGTGGTAGGCCCCAGGGCCTGGATCGCAGCCCAATACGGGGAAGGGTGAATGTCAGATAAACCCAGGCAGGGGAGTTGCCATAAGTCTCTCTGCAAGTCTCATTGTCCATCTCAAACGCTGACCGGGGGGGGGGCAGGGGTACTGTCCCTCGGTGTACTGAAACTATCTAATGGCTAGGGTGTGGCCACCTCAGAAGGTGTCCAGATGAAGTTAGGATAGGGTGCCTCCTCTTGGCCTCCTCTGCCCCACAGTTGCCCAGCTCAGTTTTCCCTCCCAAGGCCACTAGGGGGCACCCTGAAGGAAGCGGGAGACTGCAGTCCACTGCTCACCTAAATTCCTAAATTCCTCCTTTGACTGAAGTGTGGGTTGGGAACTGGCAATTGTCTTTATTGTATGACTTTGGGAAAATTCCCTAACAGTCTCCACTTACTGAGGAGGATGAGGAGGCCCACGACGAAGGCCAGGCCCGCGAAGATCAGGCCCCCTTTGCGGACAGTCTCATAATCTTGGAAGAGAGGAGGCGTGGCAGTGGTGTAAGCGAGGCCCTTCGACCTCCCAAATCCACCCACCAGCAGCCCCATGCCGTGGAGAGCAGATAGCAGGGAATCAGGCCGGGCACCTACAGATGGCGCGGGCAGGGGAAGACTGTCTTACCATAGTAGAATGGATCCTCTGCACCCTTAGCGTTGCTACCTGAGGAGAGAGCCAGGGATGGGATGAGCAAGACATCACAACCCAGAGCAGTGGGAACTCCGAACTTCTCAGGATCCCCAAGGGCCCAGATAGACAAGGGGAAGCTGGATGAGAGTGGCCAGGACATCACACAGACATCCTGGGATCAAACGCAGGGCCCTGAAGTAGAGATCTGTGCTGGCTGGGGGAACCCTCACAGTTCCAGGAGGGTGTGGTCCTCCCCAGCTCCCTGCTCTGTATCAGGCCAAAGAGCTGGGTTCCCAAGAGGCTACTTAGTGACCTCTATTGATAACTCCACTTTCTCCAGGAGGAACAGTATCTGTGAACTAAATGGATGGGTGAACCAGAGCCTCTATATTCAGGGAGCATGGCCCCCTGGAATCTTTTAAAAACATTGGAAAATGAAGGCAGAATCAGGACTTGACTCATCCTAGATTCTACTTTCCTATGTCATCATCCTCGGGGAAAACTTAGCAAGAGAGAGAAATATGCACTTGGTGTCTGCATTCCAGGTCCAAATGAACAGAACATCCGCTCAGACCACCTGCGGGGCACTGAGCTATTCCCCTCTAACCCACAAGAGACTGAAGGACAGAGAGGGTGAGTGAGCCACACAGCAAGTAATGGGCAGAGCTGGAATTTGAACCCAGGCAAAGGGTCCCTCTCAAGTGACAGGTAGGAAGACTTGTCCACAAGCTACATGGCCCTGGCCTATTGTGCCCCCCTTCATCCTGGTGGGAAGCAGCTGCTTTCCAGCCCCCCTGAGCTCAGAGCACAGGCCAGCAAAGCTGCAGTCACCCCTCCCCCTCCATGTCAGCTCCACTCTTTGGGGCCCTGCTGGAGACCCTCTTGGCCCAGGGGGGGCTGAGGCCCTTTCTAAAGGGATGAACAAGTTAGCAATTCCCAGGCAACTTTGAACTGTGACCCTGATGTGGTCAACCACAGGGCCTGGTGGGTCTGGCTGTTTCCAGTGGCCCGAGGTGGTCAGCAACTCACAGACCTCAGGGATGGGTTGTTCAGGAAGGCCAGAATCTAGGAAGAAGCCACAGGGACCCAGGCTCTGCTTCCATGCAGAAGAAAGTGTCCCCAGCTTCAATCACAGTCAAGGTCACAGAGGGAGCTAGTGTCAGCCTCAGGTGGATCTAAGCTAGGACCTCTCTTCCCTTTCAGAACCACTTGATGAGCCCCTCCCCCACCAGAGCTCTGAGCCAGAACCCTCAAGATCTGCAGGTCAGCAGGGGCCCTATTGGACTCCAGGCCTGAGTCTGTGGATCCCAAAACTCAGGGTTTTTCTTGTGACCCTAAGCCAGCTGGGGAAGGCTGGCCAGAAGGGCTGCTCTTCCCACTCCCAACCCTGGAAGCCCCTGCCCACTTAATGATCTTAGTTCTCCATCCATCCAATACAAGAAAGTCACACTGGGCAGGGTGTGGAAGGCTGAGGCAGGATGATTGCAGTGAATTTTAGGTTATTCTGGACTATACAGTAAGTTGCAGGCCAATCTGGGCTATAGAACAAGAGTCTGTCTCAAAAATAAAGTCAAACATGAGCACACAGACAGACAGACAGACAGACAGACACACACACACACACACACACACACACACACACACACACTTCTGATGCTCTAACTTCTGCTATTCTGTTTCTTTTCTGTGGTGGTGGAAGAGTCAGGTCCTTTCCCATGGCTAATTTTCTTAGAGAGCCACTGGCTGGAAACCTGGAGGCAAGTGAGCAAGAGAGGGGAAGGGGGTTCGGCTGCCCACCGAAGGCAGTCCCAGAGGGAAGGGGGTTCGGCTGCCCACCGAAGGCAGTCCTGCCAGCCTCCCTAGGCGCTGCACTCACCATCACCAGCCGACAGCCCTGTCATTTCTCCAGCCATCACAGCTTCTCCAGTCTTCCTGCAGCCTCTACCTCGGGGACAGTGTCTGCCGTGGGGGTGGCCGGGACAGAGGTGGGGGGCATTAAATATTAACAGTGTCAGGTAATATTTACCCTGGTCACAAGAAAAGCTGAGTGTACTCAGAGGGGCTCCTGCTGAGCCAGGCAAGAAGGCGGTGTTAGGGGTAGCCAGAGGCAGAGAGGGGTTGGCTGCAGTCTCCAGCCCCTCCCAAAGGAAATTTCCAGAGAGCAGGGCCCGGATGGGCAGCAATAGTAGTCTTCCATCAGCAGGGGAAGACGCAGCTGGACTGAGGAAGTGGAAGTTTCAAGATGCACTCAATGTGAATGGCACGGGGCGGGGCACTCTGTCAGGTCAGGGACCTCTGAGGCCCTTAGCCGTCAGAGTTTCCTGCCAGCCCCTGTGGATAGCACCATGGCAGCTGACATTCTCATGGGGCACTCAAGTTTCCCCGAGGGGTTCCTAAGGAGCCTAGCCTGCCTCCCCTCTCACCAAAGTCCTCTCAACCTTGGGCCACAGCAAGATGGTGCTGCTGTCCTGGACAGTCAGTCCTGACTTATTTATCCTGATCCTAAGGCCACATTTAGTGACTCACACCTTAGTCTGAAGTGCTCTGTCATCCCTGACTAATGTCTTACCCTAATGCCCGGCACTCCCTCATGTGGCTGGCCACCATGCACTTAAGATACTTTCAGGAAGGAGCCCAGCCTTGCTCTTATGGCTTATGAAGCATTTTCCAGCTGACTTCTCCCTTTTGGTTTATCTCCCTACTTGACAGGGGCTATCTGAGGCACAGAGAAGTTAGGGGCCTTACCGAAGGCAGAATAGCCAGTGAGAGTTGAGGAGACTGATGGCAGCTCCTTCAGATTCAGGCACAGATGCTTTGCCCACACTTACCGGGCTGTCCCCATGTCATTGTGACTGTCCCCTTGGGAACTATGGTGTGGGTGTTCAATGAGTACTATACAGTTTTCTATGGGTTTTAGACAGTAGAATTGTCCTCCAACAGGCTAATGTCTATCACTAGCAGGTGATGTATAGACAGGTACACAGATGGTAGACGCATACATAGCTGATACATACATGCATAGAAACATTCAAACATTCATACAGGCTACATAGGTGATGGGTGGATAGATAGATGATAGATTGATGGAGAGATGATAGCTAGCTGGATAAAAGATGTATGGATGGGTGGGTAGATAGATAGGTAGGTAGGTAGATAGATAGATAGATAGATAGATAGATAGATAGATAGATTGATAGATAATATCTCCTTCAGTCCTTCTGGAGCGAAGAGCTCCCCACCTGTGAGTCCCTCTCAACCAATGCCAGGGCACTGATAGCTGTGTTTACACCCTGGATCCGCCACATGCTGGTCATTTGACCTTTGTCAATTTGTTTAGCTCCCCATGCCTTTGTGTCTTTGTCTATACAGTGGGCAGGACACAGGACTCAGGGAAAAGTGTGGGAACTGAGACAGGCATATCTGAATATAGCCTAGGACAGTCGGTACCACTGTCCACACTGCATTGCTTGCAAAGTGACTGCCATTAGCCTCTTTAATGGTACCATCAGAAAGCCAACCACTCTCTAAGTAGGTGAGAGGAGAGAGAGAGAGAGAGTGCCCTGACTGTGCAGCTTTGAAACATCCATGCAGCTCTCCCAAGCTTTCAGAGCCCAGTGACACACATTCATAAAAATAGACAGCAGCCCTGCCCTGTGAGAGGCTGGACTCACATGCTAGGCTCATTCACAGTCTCCATTTACACCTCTGGTAGCTCCATTTGACAGAGAAAGAAACTAAGGCTGAACACTAGCTTCCTCCAACTATGCCTAGAGCAGATTAGTGCCATAGTCCTCCAGAGATGAGAAAAATACTGAGATTAATGAAGGGGAAGCCTGAAACATAGAAAGGAGAGAGCCAGGATGGGACTATGCAGGTCAAAGATGGCAGGGGGATCTGGAGCCATTCACACAATTTAGCAGCACCTCACCCCTGAGTTCTCTGTAGAGTAAGAGATGAAAAATAGGTAGCAAGTTAGAAAGATATATGACAGACAGAAGGATGGATGGATGGATGACAGATAGACGGACCCGTTAGCGGGCAGGCAGGCAGGTGGGTAGACAGGTAGGCAAAGCCATGGGAAAGCAGGTTGACAACTACTTTTCTGTTCCAGGCACTGGGAAAGTAACCCCTCTATTGCCACATGATTCAGTGGGGGGAAGGACAGGACTAGCATCATCCTGTTTTACTGAAATGCAGACATAACCGGCCAGGGAGCAGGCAGCTAGAAAGTACAGGGACCAAGATGTGACTCAGTAGTCTGAAGTCAGATGGATGGACTCACAGCTGGATGAGGAGACTCATGAAGAACTCGTTTCCCCAGCTTCCAGCTCAGAGGTGCCCTGTACAGCACAGCAGGGCTAGTATTGAGGTGTCCTTATTTAGGACAGCCTGTCTTCCACTTCTGCTTCTCCCACAAGTGAAAGGAGCCAGTAGGTGTGTTTGAAAGTGATTGGGGATTCCCTGAATCCGAGTTGAAGAGTGCAGGGTTGGGGACAGGCTTGGGGGACTCACCTAGGTACCATCTGTCCATGGCAAGAGCTGCTGGAGATGTCTCAGGTACACAGGAGCTAGGGAATGCCTGCTCTTGCCTGGGGCCTGCATAGGAAGAGGGACACGCCTTCCCTTCATGCTAGATGGGCTGAGTTGGGACCGGAAGAATGAGGCAGGAGGAGGGGCTGGAGGGGGAACTGTTACCCGCACCTGCCTGCCTGGGCTGGTTGGAGCATGAGGCTAGGGGAAAAGTCTCCGGCCTCTACTGGTCTGAGTGTCCCAAAGGAAAGGGACACTCAGAGCAACAAAGTAAGCTACAGCATCCTCTGCTTCCTCCTCAGGGACCTTGCTGCTACAGCCAGTGGTCTGCATTGTGTTGTCTAAGAGGGTTTCTAGAAGGGCAATGGCCAGGACACAAGCTGGCAGGGCCAGAGCATCGTCCATCTGTCGCCATGGTCCACTCCCCCTCCCAGCCTCTATGGGTTTCAGGCTGGCAGCTGAAGGAGACACACAGAGGCAGGTGTGGGTCCTCAGCCTTCACTCAGGACATTCCATCCTCCCATTCAGTGGGCCCCACCCTGATGTGTCTTGCCCCTGGGCCCCTTCTGAAACCCAGAGACCTCTGAGGACCAGGTAGGAAGCTGCTCCAGGTGCAGTGGGGACTCTGTGCAGGAAGCTGCCCCAGAGATGGGCAGTGGCTGGAGCCCCAGCTGGTTTGAGACGCTCCCATGGTGGCCTGTCCTTCCGCCTCACCTACAGCTCTTCACTTAGCCCTGGGGACATGTCCCAGTTGTGATGTCACACCTGCCTGGATGTACCTATGGGGTCTCAGCAAGAGCACATAATGAAGTCCTCTGAGGATGGCAGGGGAGTAGCTTAAAGACACAGTGTCTTCTAGTCCCCAGGGCTGGGGTGGCACCAGGAGCCAGCAAAGGAATGACAGAACAGCTACTCAGTGGCTCCCAGTGTCTTTGCGCTGGCCACTGAGTCTGTCTCAAAGCTAGGCCACTGCAAGAAGTCTTCATTGGATGACTAAATAGGACCACAGAGTCTCCCTAAGTCTCCCAAGATCATCCTGATGGTCATTCCATAGGGATACCCGCAGAGTACCAACAGTGCTGGCTCTGGTCACCGTGGTGACTGGCTTCTCTGTCCCTCACAGCAGCACCCTGGAAAGTGGAGGAATGTCACCCTCAGGGAGATGGAAGCACTCTGAAATGTTGGCCTGACCTCATGCTAGGTTCTTTGGGTTGGCTGAAGTCTGTCTTATGGTTCTGAGCTGG